CAAGCCTTGTAGACCACAGTTAATTCAAGGGCTGTAGGTCGAGGAAAAGAAAACTGGAAAGGCAAACCAAGATCTGGCAAACCGAGATCTGACAGATTGGAGGAAAGTTCATCCATTGGAATTCAGAAGAGGTGGCAGAACAGAAATTATCAAGCTACAGATAACAGATCCAAATCTGCAGGAAAGGCAAATATTGAATGCTTCAGATGTCATAAGTATGACCATTATCGTTCTGAATGCAGTGTTAATCTAAATAGAGGAGAAAGTTTCAATTTTGTAGAACACAATGAGAAGAATGACGATTCCTCTCTATTCATGGTCTGTCATCCTAAAGAAGTCAACAAGAAGAATGTGTGGTATCTGGATATTAGTTGCAGCAACCACATGTGTAGAGACAAATCTACATTTTCAGATTTGGATGAGTCTTGTCAAGACAAGGTGAAATTTGGTAATAATTCCACTATTGCAGTCAAGGGAAGGGGAAAGGTAACCATTCGTGCCAAAGATAATTCAATTCAGACTATTTCTAATGTTCTATATGTACCAGATTTGAAGTCGAATCTACTTAGTCTAGGACAACTTCAAGAAAAAAGATATGAAATCCTTATTAAAGATGGAGTTTGCCAAATTCATGATTCAAAACTTGGCCTAATTGCAAAGGTCAAGATGACGCGAAATAGGTTGTTTCCATTATGCTTGCAGACCACAAATCTATCATGTTTATCTACCAGATTAAAGGACACAGCTTGGTTATGGCATTGCCGATTTGGACATCTTTATTTTGGTGGGTTGAAAGCTTTGCAGTAGAAGAAGATGGTAAATGGTCTTCCTCATTTTGATTCTCCTTCAGAAATTTGTGAAATCTGCGTGGTTATTAAACAGCACCGTGACAACTTTCCTAAAGACAGATCTTGGAGAGCAAAGCAGGTGCTAGATCTGATTCATTCTGATTTGTGTAGACCTATAAATCCAACATCCAATGGAGGTAAACAATACTTTATTACCTTTGTTGATGATTATAGTTGCAAAACATGGGTGTATTTTTTGTAGACCAAGTTAGAAGCCTTAGCAGCCTTTAAAAATTTCAAAGCCTTGGTTGAGAATGAGGTTGGCAAATCTGTAAAGGTTCTGCGTACAAATCATGGTGGTGAGTTTAATTCAAAGGAATTTGCAGATTTTTGTGAGTCCAATAGCATTAAAAGGCAACTCACAGCAGCCTATACACCTCAGCATAATGGTGTATGTGAGAGGAGGAATTGCACAATCATGAATATGGTGCGAAGTCTGATGTCAAAGAGCGGCTTGCCTAAGGAATTTTGGCTAGAAGTTATTAATTGGAGTGTTCATATCTTGAACAGAAGTCCCACATCTCCACTTCCAGATTTGACGCTAGAAGAGGCTTGGAGTGGACGTAGACCTGCTGTTGATTACTTCAGAATTTTTGGGTGCATAGCATATGCACATGTGCCAGATCAGAAAAGGAGTAAGCTTGATGACAAAGGGGAAAAGTGTATCTTCCTTGGTGTTAGTGATCAATCTAAAGCTTCCAAATTATATAATCCTTTAACCAAGAAGGTCATCATTAGCCATACTGTAGTGTTTAATGAAGCAAGCACCTTGTCTTAGACAGAAAAATTAGGGCAACAGATTCTTGCAGATTTCAAAAATGGAGAAGATCTGACTGTGCATAACTTAGAAGGTCAAACATAGCAGACTGGAGGTTTAACTTCAGCTGAAGAAAGTCTGCCTACAGAAGTAGAGCTCAGTACTGGAGGAAGTTTGCCAACAACACCAGAACTGGAATTTGGAACTAGTTACAGACCTTAATGCAAAAAGAGAAGACTAGCATGGTTGGAAGATTATGAGGTAATAGATCTACCTCAAGATGATGTTCCAGTTACTCATTTTGCTCTATTTGTAGATTGTGATCCATTGACATATAAAGAGGCTGTTAAAGAAGAAAAGTGGCAAAAAGCCATGGCAAAAGAAATTGGTTCTATTGAAAGGAACCAGACTTGGGAGTTGATAGATCTTCTAGAAGGGCACAAAATAATTGGTGTTAAGTGGATCTACAAGACAAAGCTCAAAGAGAATGGGATGATTGACAAATTCAAAGCTCGCTTGGTGGCAAGGGGTTACAAGCAAGAGTTTGGCATTGATTATCAAGAAGTTTTTGCTCCAGTTGCAAGGATGGATACCATCAGATTGGTGATTGCATTGGCAGCACAGAACTCATGGCCGATCTACCAGCTTGATGTGACATCTGCCTTCGTGCATGGAAATTTGCAAGAACAGGTATTTATTGATCAACCTCCTAGTTATGTGAAATCTGGTTCTGAACATAAGGTTTACAGATTGAAGAAAGCATTATATGGACTAAAACAAGCACCTAGAGCTTGGTATAGTCAAATTGATGCTTATTTTTTGAAGGAAGGTTTTCAAAAGTGCCCTTATGAGCATACACTTTACATTAAATTTGGAAAAGGAGGTAAATTAATTATAGTATGCTTATATGTTGATGATTTAATTTATACTGGGAATGATTTTGGCATGTTGGAAAAGTTCAAGCAATCCATGAAGCTTGAATTTGATATGACAAATCTGGGTTTGTTGCATTATTTTCTTGGTCTGGAAATAGTACAGTTAGATTCTGGAATTTTTGTTTGTCAGAAAAAATATGTGTAGGAAGTTCTGGACAGATTTCAAATGAAGAACTACAATTATGTCACTACACTAGTTGACAAAGGTGTAAAGCTCGTGAAAGATCCAGGAGGCAGATCTGTGGACAGCAAATTGTATAAGCAGACTGTTGGAAGTTTGATGTATTTGACAGCAACAAGACCAGATATAATGCATGGTGTAAGTCTGATTAGCAGATATATGGAGCATCTAAAGGAGTTGCACTTGCAGACTGCTAAAAGAATTCTCAAGTATTTATGTGAAACTGTAGATTTTGGACTATTTTATAAGAAGGGTGATCAGACAAATCTCGCAGGCTTTACAGACAGTGATTATGCTGGAGATCTGGATGACAGAAAAAGCACTTCTAGGTTTGTTTTTATGCTGGGATCTGGTGCAATTTCATGGTCTTTAAAGAAGCAGCCCATTGTGACTTTGTCCACAACAGAAGCGGAGTATGTGGCAGCAACTTCTTGTGCTTGTCAAGCTATTTGGTTGAGTTAGAATTATGGAAGAACTTAAGCTGAATCAACATGAGGCCACTTCAATTTATTGTGATACTAGTTCAGTCATCAAGCTTTCTAGAGATCTAGTTTTGCATGGGAGAAGCAAGCATATACATGTGAGGTATCATTTCTTGCGCGACTTGGTAGAAGAAGGAACAATTGAGTTGATTTATTGCAGAATAGAAGATCAAGTGGCTGATATTTTCACAAAACCCCTCAAAGTAAAACCCCTCAAAGTAGTAGCTTTTTCAAAACTGAGAGAGTTACTTGGTGTTTGCAGCATGCAGAATTCAATTTAAGGGAGGGTCTGCAGATTCCAGATTGCATATTTGTAGATACAGTGTTATCTAGATTTCTTTAAACTAAAGTTTGAAGACTTTCAATTTAAGGGAAGGATTGTTGGAAATTAGATCTTATTAGTTAGCCATTATCTCTATAATTTAGGAAGTTTAAGTTATTTATTTGTTTTAGGTTGTTATCATTTAAATTAGATAAGATAAGATTGGTTAGTTATCTTTTTAGATAATATTATCTTATAAAGCCTATTTAAAGACTGGATTATTTTTAGTTTAATGTGAGATTCAGTTTTTTCATTCCATCTTCTTTTTCTCGAAATCTTTGATTTTTAACAAAAGACTCCTCCCTTACTTTCTTCTGTTTCATGCTATGTAAATCGTTCTGCAACACTTTACTACGTGTTATTGCAATTTATTAATTACCTAAGGTTGCTTTTGTTGGACATATGTTGAATGTAATATCCAAAATAAAAAATTACGGTCAGTCCAGTCCAGGTCCAACCCTTCAGAGCAACAATGCGCATAACTTTTCAGAATCAACAATAAAAACACCAAACGGTATATATGTTAAGCTCTCTAAGGTTTTCTATTGCCACTTAACCACATCAACTGTCAATTTGGTTAGTGTTAGGTGAGAGATTATGGTTAATCAGATAATTTTGAATGTTGCTTCCCTACGGCTACTATAAATTTCTCCATGAAAGTAAATTTTGCTTAGGCCATGTGGTAGATATTTACTGACCTTAGATATCTGTTCTTCTGTTACAGATTCCTACATGAATATATATTTTGCTTCAGACATAGTATTTTACTGACCTCAGCTTCTCTTCCTTTTTGAATAGGAAACAATAACAACAATGACAAAAGAAAATTGAAAGGTAAAGCGAATAAAAGTTTGATCAGAAGTGGACAACCGGATAAAAACGTTTGAAACGTTTACAATTTCTGTTGTACAAAGATGGAGGAGAAGACCCCACTTGCAGTGAATTGAGGAGACATATCAAGCTAATTGCGCGAGGAGGAGATCATGCTGGGCGTGTGTTGTTATGCTTTGAACTCAACTTCCCAACACCTCACATGAGCATGCTCATTTGGCCTTTGAGAGTGAACAAAACATTTACGTTTCTGATTAGATGATTATGGCCGCAAACGTGTGGAACTCTTTCTTTTGCTTGCCCTTTGAACTCCTGTTTTGTGCATTTGGTGGGAGGGAGATAAGTAATTAAGCACTGACACTAATCCTTTCAAATCATACGAGGAATTTTAATACATTTATATTCTTTAAATCCATGGAAGTGGAGGAACTTGAATCCCAAATCTTAATTTACAGAACCACAATCTATCTCTTTATTATTAGAAAATCTCGTTAGCTACTCTTCAAGCAACTTTTTTATGTAAAGTTGACTGCCTATTTACAAGAAATCTTGGTTTAATTAAGGTTAGATTCATAGTGAAGAAGTAACCATATATGATTCATCAACATTTGTCGACACTAAATCCTTGGATTTAACAGTAGGTTTTATTAGTTTGTTTCACTTAACAAGACATATGAATTAGTGTTCATGAATTAATTCGATATTTTGAGGCTGTTGAGATGATTGTTATTAACAAATATTGTCAGCAAATTATCATTATTGAAAAAGTGATTTCTTATGAATCTTTTTGTCAACTCCAACATGGTCTTAATACAATGCAGGCCAACTAGTCATGGCACGGGCAGTATCCGTATTCTCTGTTGTATTCACGGTTTTATATCTTACTTGGAATTTGAAACAAGTTTATCTAATTCAATTAAGCTAATAAATCTTGGAAAGACTTGGGATGAGAAAGAGCTTTCTCCATGTGTAGGGGGTTGGAATTCATGTCGCCTCATTTATAATTGATGAAGGGATGAGGAAGAGAATCAATAAAAGAGGAACGAAAAGGGACGCAGTCATTTTCCCAGTGGTCATGGTGTTGAGTTCCTTCCTAACAGCATTAGCTGTTTCGATTGTTACTCTTACCTGCCATCGTCGCAACCATTATCCTTCATTCATCTCTCTCAGGTTGGCATCTGTCATCATCTATGTCGTCTTCATAACAAGAAATTCAAAAATATGCCGATAACGTAGTTTTCACGCTAATACAAATATTCTTTGATTTAATATATTTCATAACATATTTATTAAAAATTTATTATTTTATAAAATAAGATTATATATAAATATATATAAAAATACAATCATATATATAACATAAAAATTATTAAATTAACTACATTTATATTATATTTTAATAATTAAATTAATTATATATTAACAAGTGTGTCAAATCAGAGGATGTGTGAATTATTTTTCTTTGCATAAATTAAATAATTTTAAAAAAATTTTCTTTGTTTGCTCAACGGTACTTGCAGACTGCCAACATTTATAGACTTACTAAGGTTCTACTCTCAAGGATGACCTAAAATAACCAATTAAAATTATATTATAGTTCACATCATACCTCCTTTTATGGCATCTCTTAATGAATTATGAAAAAGAGAATAACATTCTATTTTTCTCAAATTTCTTTATGTTTAATTCAAAATTCTAACTTGAGTCTTTCGAATAGTATTAAGTTTTAAACCAATTGAGTTTTACCCATTTGGGGCACATCACACCTTAATATTTGAACCAAACTCCAATCTGTTTATATTTAATCCATTTTGTTTAATGGTATTGATTATGATAATAATGCTAAATAATTGAAAATTAGAAAATAATTGATATACCCTCTAATATGATAAATCTTTTGACACTCATTTAGTTTAATTATTAAAATATAATATAAATATAATTGATTTAACAAGGTATGTAACTTAAAATTTGTTTACTTTTAATTTTAAATTAAAAAATAATATTTTTTAAATAAATTTATGAATCAAAGGATATATCAATCAATGTCCTTAACAATTATATTATAAGTTAGGAAATCAACAATTACTAACAAGTCAAACTTGATCTCTAAAGTGCTGGTGAACTTAAATATGTGTTTGGTTTGAAGAAAATGAATGAGGGTAATGAATTATTAATTTTATTAATCAATCATATTACAATATTAACAACATTTAAATTTAATTAATTAAAAAAAAATCATCCATTTCCTCCTCTTCTCTCATTTCCCATAAGCCAATCATATATAATCTAGAGAGTTCTTAGACCACCTGATTAGAAAGAGTTCTTAGACCATTTCAAGTTTTAACCCGAGTCATCTCGGCATGGTTTAAGTGTGCCACATCACCACCTAGATATATGCTTTTGTCAATGTCGAGCGTGAGAAAATGTCATTCAATCAAAAAATGCAAATAAAATGTGACATAGTTAACGTCACACATGTTAAATTTACATAAAATTTTCACATATATGTGAAGTTAAAGAGAGAATTTACAATTAATTGCTTTCAATTAAGGGCTAGTTGAGTTCAATTCAGAGGTGGCATGACCTTAGTCGTTTCACCAACGTTTTGCACTTTTTCACTCTATTATGAGTCCTAATATGACATATATAAACTCATTTAATAATATAAATTATATCATATTATTAATCTTAAATTTTAATCTCAAATTTTTATCTTCTATATCACTACTCTTCCTTTTTAGGTTTTGAAAAATTCAAAATTAACTCCACTAGATTTGAGCTGCCTTGTAATAACAACCATTTGAATTCAAATTTGAGCTTTAGTTACACACAATATATAAAAGGACAAATTAATATATCTTTCAGCTCAATAAATTATAGAATATATTTATTAAAAATTATTATTGTTTAATTTGAATTGAAGATAAACAAATTTAAAAATACAATTATACATATAACATCTTAGAATTGACTAAATCGATCAGAATTGACTAAATTGATTCTAAATATGTTATATTTTAATGGCAAAATCAAAAAGATGTCCAAGTTGTGTTAAACTAGATGGTGTACCGATCATTTTTCTTATAAAAAGGTAAATATTGTACTATTTTAAATTTAATTTAAATTAAGGCTAAATATGTAAACTCATTAAAAAAATTTATAAATTAAAATAATTAATAATTTAGAGTAAAGTGTGTATAAGTCGGATTTTCAAAAAATTAAGAAAAAAAAAACACCTAAGCACTATGTTGTTTTATTAAACTCTCACTAAAAAAGCTAAAGGAAAATGATGAATACACACTCCGTTGTCACACCCTCCGTCACACACACTCCATCTCCGTTTGTCTCCGTTTGTCTCCGTTTATCTCCGTTTCTTTGGTTAACCCAGTGGCTCTCCTCTTCACCTAGCCCTGGTTCTTTGATTTTCTTTCTCTCTCCTCCCCCTCTCCTTCCTTCTCTTCTCCACTCTTAGAACCCAGATCGGGTTCTTGCAAACCTAGATCTAGAACATTAGACATTCCATGGTTCAATTAGATGAGGAAGAAGGCATGAATGAAAGGCTTAGCAACGGAGAGAAAGAGAAAGGAAAGGGTGAGAGGATGCCAAGATCTGTTGAGGATAGAGATTGGTAGTGGATTTTATGGAAAGGAAAATAGCTAGATTGGAGAGGAAAGGCTTAAGCCAACGAGGGAGATCAAGGGGCAAAAAGAGAACTGACATCAGAGGAGGAAGAGATAGCCAACAATGGAGAATGGAGAGAGAAGGGGAAGCTCAGCATCTTCGACATCTACTTCAAGACCCCCATTGTTCATGGAATGGATCTCGTCACTCTGCGCTTCAGGTCCCTTGCCAAGCGTCTCGTGCTTCTCGTTGGTACGACTTTATGTTAGGAATGTAGGTAAGATGCTTTCTTGTTTGCTTCTGCCAATGGGTTTTGTAACTGGTTTTTGGTTCCTTATAGCTGATTAATTGGCGTTAAACTTGAAATGCTTTTCTGGTAGTTTGCATTTTCTGTTGTTGAAATGTCTGTAATTGGGAATTGATTTTCTGGGACGGTTTCAATTGGGCTTACATCAATTAATTTAGCATTTTTCTTCATTTAATGAGGTCTAATGTTGCTTAAAATGTTGGAGAGTATCCGAAGAGCCCGATCTGGGTTCTTGCATAACCCGATCTGGGTTCTTGCATAACCCGATCTAGGTTCTGTAACCTAGATGCATAACCCCAATGCTGTGTCTGGGTTGCAGAACCCAATTTGGGTTCTTCTCAGAGAACCCAGGTATGGGTTCTCTCGAGAACCCAGGTATGGGTTCTCTCGAGAACCTAGGAGAAAAAAAAAAAAGGGAAGAAGGAGGGATCACGATGTGAGTGAAATGGAGACTAACGGAGTGTGAAAATTAACAGAAAAAAGAGTGTGTAACGGCAGTGTGGCACAAATGGGTGTGTGTCAATCATGGTCCAAAGCTAAAATAACTTATTTTTAGAGGATGCTGATGCATGGACACCACCCGTTACACACCCTCGTTACACACTTTAACAGTTTCTGTTATATACACTAACGGTCTCCTGACTCACCCAATCATTTCCATCCCCACCAGATTCATCTTCTTCCTCACCTCCACCCTTATCCTAATCATCTGCAAGACAATTGCCAACCCTCTACCAGGTTCCCACCTTCTTCCTTTTCTCTTTTTTTTTTTTTTTTTCTCCCGAGTTCTCTTGGAGAACCCGACCTGGGTTCTCCTGAAGAACCTAGACCTGGGTTCTCTTGGAGGAGGATGATGGAGGAGAGAGAGAGAGAGAGAGAGAGAGAGAGAGAGAAAGAAAAGAAGAAGAAGAAAGAAAGAGGAAGAAGATAATGGATGAAGAGGATGGTAATGGAGTTAAGTGTAATTAACGAAAAATAACGGAAATTGAAGGGTGTAACACAGTGTGTGGATAAATTGGGTAAACCTATCATTACCCATTTTTAAAACATGAATGAGTTTGTTTTGGTTTTTTCTTATAGTCCTTTAAAGAAACTATATAGTTTTAGACTATTTTTTCTCTTAATTTTTTAAAACTCTTGTATGTAATAATACATATAATAAATAGGGATTCATGTTTTATAACCCAAATTATACATAAAAAGTTTGTCCCATTAATTTACTAGAATTATACACTTAATGAAATAATATAAAAAATAATTTTTTTAAAAATATTTTAGTAAATTTATAAAATGTAATGCACTTTTAATATATAATCTACTCTTTAAAATACTTTTTGTTGGAAAAAATGAAATAGCAAAAGAATAAAAGAGTTGTTCTGAGGCGTGATCTCACTTTTCTTAAAGATTTAAAATCCTCCAAGATGCAACAGAATACAAAACTCTCTCAGAATTAGATCTAGAACTCTGACTTTGCATAGGAATTTATAATGCATGAAAAATCACTATTTGTAAGGATGTATCCCTCTAAAAAGATACCATTTCATAGAGGTACCTTTTGATTGCTAATAGTTATGTCTGATTTTCAGACATGTCTTTCCAAATTTTAATTTAATAAAATAAAATAAAATATCCAAAAATAATAAAAAATTAATGATATTCTAGCAGTTAAGCCCCAAGGTGTAAGTGCCCATCTTTTGACTATATATAAAGAGGCAAGACCCAATTTGCCTTGGGTTTTACTTTACTTAATTATTTATTGATAAATAATAGGCCTTTATAAATTCCTTTAAGTTCTCATACTTTCTTGATGTGGGATCTTAAATATTTACAAACTATTTAACATTCCCCCACTAGTTTGGAAATGTTAATTTAGTTCTACTCGACAAGAAATATGCTTAAAGAAGGTATCTCTCGATTTAAACATTCCATTAGTGTGCATACTTCATATCTAATGAAGTTATTGGTGTCCAAGGATTAAACAATAACTACTTATATTAGACATAAGTGTGCGACACACATAAGACTTGTCTATCTAATCCAAGCAGTTTAAAACCTTTTAGCACTATTATGGCCATGTGCTCATCCTGCTAATAATGGTCATTTACAAGAGAATCCAACATCTTCTTGTTGAAGCGGCACCACTTCTATGACCATTTAGGTGGAGTTCTTTATGTCCCTGTTGCTATGGACACTTAAAAAATGATCAACTCCATTAAGAGTTTACACTCATCCTTCAAAACGCAATAGACAACACTTGACTAAAGTAGGAATAGGTTTCAAGTGCTAAACAGGCATACATAGTAACTTGTGCTTACCCATTAAACTTTAAATTTAGAAATGACTAAATAAAAGTTGGGTTCCCATTACCAATGCCTAGTTTAAATATTTAAGCCCCATTCCTAATGACATCCTTTCCACCACATCTCGTGGTAGTGCTTTTGTGAGAGGATCAGCTAGATTGTCTACAAACTTTACATAGATTATTGTTATAACTCCACTAGTGATCAACTCTCGAATATAAGTATGTCTAAGACTAATATGTCTAGATTTCCCATTACAAATATTGTTATATGCTCTAGACATTGTAGCCTCACTATCATAATGCAAGGAAATGGCTAGCATAGGTTGTGGCCACAACTTTATATCAAGCAATAAATTTCTCAACCATTGCTTCTTTGCCTGTTGCCGCCAGAGTAATAAACTCAGATTCCATTGTAGAATGTGAGATGCATGTTTGTTTCTTTGATGCCCAACTTATTGCACCTCTTGCAAGTGTAAAGATCCAACCCGAAGTAGATTTGTTATGACTCTTACTAGGGATCCAACTTGCATCAGTGTATCCTTCTAAGACTATTGGATAATCTGAGTAAATCAAACCAAGCTCTTTTGTCTTTTTAAGATAACCAAGAATTCTTCTAATAGCTTTCCAATGTTCATGGGTTGGTTTACTTGTGTATCTTGATAATTTGCATACTGCAAAGGCTATGTCTAGCCTAGTACAATGCATGGCATACATTAAACTTCCTATTACACTTGCATATTCCAATTGAGCAACAATATGACCTAGGTTTAAGGTCAACTTCATACTAGGATCATATGGAGTTGGGGCTTCCCTTATAGTAAGATGTTGGAATTTATTCAACATTTTCTCTATATAATGTGATTGACCAAGTACAAAGCCACGATTATGCCTCTTTACTTTAATACCTAAAATAGTATCTACTTTATTTAAATCTTTCATTTTGAAGATTGAAGTTAGATACTTTTTGGTTTCATTGATTCCCAACATGTTAGTACCAAATATCAACATGTCATCAACATAGAGACATACTACAACTCGATAATCCTTAGTGAACTTTGAATAGATACACTTATCTACATCATTATGCTTGAATCCATTTGCTAGAATATGTGTATCAAATTTCTAGTGCCATTGCTTGGGAGCTTGCTTTAGGCCATATAGTGACTTAACTAATTTACAAACTTTTCTTTCATTTCCAAGAAGTATGATGCCTCCTGGTTGTTCCATGTATACTTCCTCACTTAAGTCATCATTCAAGAATGCTGTTTTAACATCCATTTGATGCAAAAATAGCTTATAAATCAAAGCCAATGCAAAGAGAACTCTTATAGATGTTATTCTTGCAACATAAGCATATGTGTCAAAATAATCTATTCCTTCCTTTTGAGTAAAACCTTTCTCAACCAACCTTTCTTTAAAGGTTTGTATTGTTCCATTTATATTGTATTTTCGTCTAAATACCCATTTACAACCAATTGGTTTATAACCATATGGAAGATCCACTAAAATCCAAGTATTATTGGACATAATAGAGTCCATCTCATCATTCACAGCTTCTCTCCAAAAAGTTGCATCCCTTGAAGCCATTGCTTCTTGAAATGTTTTTGGATCTTCTACAACATTTAATACCATGGGTATTTTTCGAATTATTTCAATTCTGGTTGCTTCAACTAGGAAGACAATAGATTGATAAGAAATAAAATCAAGATCAAGAGACTTTTCTCTCCCAATCCTTGTACTTCTTCTTGGTTCAATTGAACCATCATTCTCTTTTCTTTTCTCCTCATGAAGTGTACTTGTACTTGTACCATTATGATTTTCATGCATTGAATTATTCAAAGAATTTCTAGAATCAAACATAGTAAAAGAATCTTTAATAAACTTATCTTCAAAGAACTCAACTTGTATAGATTCTACTATAACATTTGACTCTAAATCTAGTAATCTATAGGCCTTATAATTAATTGCATAACCAAAAAATACACTTCTAATGCCTCTAGGTCCTAATTTTGTTCTTTGTGGGTCTGGAATCTTATAAAAGGCAAGACACCCCCACACTTTGAGATAATTCAAATTTACCTTTTTACCATCATTCCAAGTCTCATATGGAGAAACATGAGTTTTCTTTGATAGAATTATGTTGGTAACATGATTGGCAGTAAGAAGTGCCTCTCCCCAAAAATTAAATGGCAACTTTGAATTTATCAACATGCAATTAACCATGTCAACCAAAGTTCTATTTTTCCTTTTTACCAAACCATTTTGTTGGGGTGAATAGGAGGCTATTCTTTGATGTACGATACCATGTTCTTCACAGAATTGTGAAAACATATTTGAAAAATACTCACCACCCCTATCACTACGAAGAGCTTTAATTCTCTTCTCTTCTAATTTTCCACAACATATTTATACTCTTTAAACTTGTCAAAAGCCTCATCTTTTGTTCTCATAAGATACATATATATATATCTAAAACAATCATCAATAAATGTTATGAAGTATCTTTTACCTCCTCTAGTAAGATGACCATTTAATTCACAAATATCATAATGCACTAACTCTAACATTTCTGTATTTTTTTCTCTTTTTGGAAAAGGTTTTCTAGTCATCTTTCCTTGCACACAAATTTCACATTTATTTTTAAAATCATTTTGACAAGTTAAATATCCATGCTTAGACATATTTTAATGATTCATAATTCACATGTCCTAATCTAGCATGCCATAAAGTAGAAGAACACTTAACAATATAAGCAGAAACATTATTTATTTCATTAATACTCAATTTGAACATTCCATCACAAGAATAACCTTTCCCCACAAAGTTGCCATTTTTTGATATAATGGCCTTGTCTGATTCTAAGAC